ACTCCCTCTTTAGGAAAGATGGCCTTGCCTCAGCAACCTGGGCTTGGATTTGATTCTCAACTCTGAGAATGTCCTCAGATTCCCTCAATGCTCAGGCTATTTCCCAGGCTAAGGCGTCCATGGCTTGTTGATCTACTGGTTTGGCCACATGGCCTAACCAACCCCTTCCTCCTGTGCCAGAATTTCATTCGGTATAGGCATCTCGTGCCTCCTAGGCCTACCACGCCTGCCTCCACCACGTCCACGTCTTGACATCCTAATGAAGGTAACGAAGGAGATTAGCATATTTATAAATATGCCAAAGCTAACTTACTCGTGTCCTAATACGATGGACAACAATAAATCACTCCATTTAAACACGTAATCATGTAAACACATACGAATTTCCTTCCTAGATAATGACCGTCCCGCAGCGTTGCTAGAGTTCTAATTGTAAATAACAGTGATCAAGTGCTCTTCTAATAGGATTTCTAGAAACTCGTAGACCCGATCAATATCTTAGGAACTAAATCCCATACCCATACAATCATATAAGCATGTTATTACATAAGTACACAATACATACTAAGGTCTCAACTAAGCGAGACAAACCCATTGTGGTACTAACCACTTCTCACATACCCAAAGTATTCAAACCTGGTACACTCTGATACCAAGTTGTCACGCTCCAAAAAAATACACAATAAATATGACCCAAAAGCATATACAAATGACATCATAAATAAGAGTATAATGCTCTTCGATTCCATAATGTAAATAGTACAAAAGGTTTAATGTAAATAAATCCCCTATAGGCTTACATCTTTTCAAGTCTTGACTTGGTTACAACAAAAATGGGACTAGCCCTTACAAATAAAGCTCTCGGCTATACAAAAATATATAGTCAAAACAAGAAGCTCTTGCTTTCCAAAAGTCCCTCAAATGCTATTGCCTTGGTGAAGGCATGCCATCATTTCCTCAAAATGTTTTTCCCAAATAGGGTGAGCCACATCCCAATAGAAATAATCTATCACGGTATATGAGGTTTAACAAAGATATATGTGCAAGGTGCATAAACAATGCCAGGGATAAAATATTCACATTTTATATAGTCATAGAATACTAAGTCCACATTTCATTTCATTTTTTTCCAATTCATCTCAATACATGAGCCAATTCCATTATTTTCGATACCCAAATGAGACTATAACTCAAAGGTTCTACAATCACATCATTAACACACTAACACTTCAATCTTGTCATTTTACAAATATTTCGTCCGCGGGATCGACACCCATGTATAATTTCAAATTGCCTTATTTTACGGATATTTCAAACGGGGGATTGACACCCATGTAAAAGTTTCGGAACTTTCACCCAAGACACTCCAGCCAACTTATTTATAATGGAGTCCATCCCCTTTATCCTCCCAAACAATCATACATATGCAATGTATATAAACACATAATCACACATGGAGTACATTTTCATTCTTCTCCCAAATAATCATACATATAAAATGTATATAATCTTAGTCATATTCAATGACAACTAATAAGAGATTAGTTTTCAATTCACCTAATCCACATGTAATTTCTACAACAATGAAAGCTATCTTCCACCGATAGCCCAATATAGATATTTCTAAACAGATATACAATCTCAAGACATATATATTATCTAAAATTTTCAGAGATGTGAAATATTACATACTTGATTCCACCATCTATTCCAATACTCGCTCATTTCATGTTTACAATATCAATTTCAATTATTTATACAAAATAATTACGATAGTCGTTTTAGGGCAAAATCCCAATTTTTCAAAATATCAATCCAAATACCAAAACTGACCATTTTGACACCTAGTGACTTCATTCTCACACTCCAAGTTCATTTATTTTATTTCTACCAAAAATCCCTCTTTTACATTTCACACAACCCTAGGTTTGGCTCAAAATATTTCCAAATATCATCATTGTTACACAACCATAAATAACTAAGTTAAAAGTCATAACAAAGTGTATAAAATCCCTACCTCAAAGAGAGAAGATGAACCAAGCAAGGATGAAACTTCAAAAGTGACGAAATCCAACTTCAATTGGGTCAAAATGAAGATCTTGAGAAACTCGACCTTTTTATCAAAGGAAGCAGGGTGAAGAGATCACTAGATCTAGGTGGAAATGTAGAGAGAATGTGAGTTTTAGAGAGAGGCTCTTAACTTTAGGATTTAGGATGAAAAGATATGAAACAGTGATGTAAAAAGTGCTTTTCGCGGTCTGATATACGCGCAGTTCGCTCGAGCAGAGAAGTTGACGCACGAGCTACATTTTAACCTAGTTTGAAACGAGAAGGGCTACCCAAAACAAGGTATAGAGAAGGGTTATCAACCCTCTAACCTTTAATGGCCTTAAACCCAAGCTTCAGTCCAAAAAACACAAAGTTTTGACAACCCAAAACAATGGAGAAATAGTAGGAATAGAAGCAAATAAAACAAAGTTACAAGCAAAATCTTATACCTTTGAAGAGAAGAGCAACTCCAAGCAACAAAACCAAGCAAACAACACCCTCTAGGGCTCAAGCCAAGCTCAATAATAACTTAGCTCAAAGATGGTGGGATTTGGTTATGGGTGTATAGGAAAAGGGTAACGAATTGTAGTCAAAAGTGTAGAGAATTTGTAGAGAGAGGAAAATTTTTGAGTTCAAAATTTTCTAACCTTGCTACAAAAGAGAGGGGGTCCCTATATATAGAAAATATGAAATTCCCTCAATGAGATCCAACCCTACACATGGGTCAAGATAGGTGCATCTGTGCAAACAGCTGGCACAGCTAGCATAAAATATCTGCAAAATACACTAGTGACCGGCAAGCCACATCAGTGGCCGGTAGCCCAAAAGTGATGGCCGATAACCTCTAGGGATGGCCGGTAGGCCACCAGAGGTTTCATGCTGCAAAGACTAAGGCATGGTCTAAAAATGAGACAAAAAGGATGTAGGGTTTGAAATACTCAAAGTTGTGGCGTCCCGCTGAGGACTTCGAGCACTTGGCGAGCAAACAAACTCATCATCGGGTGTGCATGCGAGGACGTCCAAATCGTAAGCTCCGTCAAAAATGGGTGTCTACAACATGTCACACAAGCACTTCAAAATGTACTCAAATGTACATTGCGCTTCATAGATTACCACCAACGATTGGTTTAAATCCGAACTCACATTAATGTTGGGATGTTTATTTTGAATCCCAAGATGGTTCACAATGTATCGCACCCCCCGTAAAGTATAACCTCACAATGGATTCAATTTAGGTGACTCCGTCACATTTCATTTTCAAAAGTCACGTATATATTGTTATCAAGATTTGAGAGTACTCATTTGAGGATTTCCATTGTTACATTCCATTTTTTCACATTGGATTCAATGTTCACATCACGTCACATTGACTTCATAAGTGTGTGCACTTTTACATTGCACTTTGTAGTTTAGAACTAACGATTGGTGGACGTTTTGAGTGTGTAATTGTCTCATTGCGCAATTGGGCTACATACATGAGAATGTAACTTTCACATTCAATATGAAATCTCATTTACGTTAGGACTATTTATATTTGATATGAAAAATGGATATGTTTCTCTTTCAAACTGTGCCAATAAACTTGATGTAATGACTACTAACATGTAAATCCATCACATTCCATTTGTGTTTCAAATAAATTAGGTTGATGTGAGACATAAGATATCACCTATATTTTGTTTCCTAAAATATATTGTAATTTATCAATTTGGGCCTAGATCAATTTTTGTCTAATTTATTTTTCAAAACTCAAAACTTAAAATTCAAGTTCAAAACCCAAATTTCTTAATCTAAACCCAAATTCCAACCTATCTCCTTCTCTCTCTATTCTTCAAATTCATTCTTAAAATTTCCACTATTTTCTTGCCATCCTTCTCTACCCCTTCTCTTTATTTTTATTGCCATTTTTTTTTGTCAACTTTCGTGACCTTTTCACTTCTACGAAGACTGGCCCCCTCTATTTCTGTAAAAAATTTATTTATCATTAACACTTTTAATGTATATATGAATATGTATATCTTATTTTATAAATAAAATGGCCCTCAATATAAAAGATGTGTATCACATTCTTCTACAATCTTTTGTTCTCTTTTTATTTTCTACTTAAAAAATTTATTTATCCTATTAGAGATTACTTCTATAGTATTTAAATTTTTTTATGTGTATATATATAGTTCATATATTATATTGTACATACATATGCTTTTGCATATATAGCGAAAAAAATCTATTTATCTTTAACTCTTTTGATAATGAAATTCTGAATTACGACCCCCTTTCATAAAACATCCGAAGACCTATTTGTTTGGCGAAAAAAATGAAAATAAAAAGCACTAGTTATTTATAGATAGTTTTATTTTTTTGGGATAGAAATATTTTTTAAAAATAAAATAAAAAAACATTTTGTGTGTGTTTATTTTGTCAAACCAGTTTAATTTTATTTTTTATTTTTTAAAAAAGTTTGAAAGTTGACTTTTTTTTATTTATTATGAAAAAAAGTACATAAAAATATAGAAGTGATATGATTTAAAAAAATCAATAAGTCAATAAATTCTCTTTTTTTAATGTTATCAAAAAGGCATAAAACAATCATGATTTGGTTTTGAGTTTTGAGTTTTAAAATTTTAATATAATATTTTTATATAACACTGTTTATTTAATTTTTTTGTATAAAATTAATTTACAAGAAATTTTTTTTTTGTATAAAATATTTTACGATGAAATAAATGGAGTCTAACCAAACCAAACAAAATCAAATCTTAAATCCCATAAAATAGACGGAGTCTAAGGGTCAAAGTAAAAAAAAAAAAAAAAAACTGTAGAACCAAAATGAACACACAAAAAAAAAATTTAAAGATCAAAGTAAAAGGAGGCGAAATATAATTCTCTAAAAAAAACGAAAAACAAACAATTTTTAAAAACTCAACTAAAAGAAAAAAATCCACTAATTTCCTTTCCTATGTTGAAATCCAATTTGTAATAGGATTGGATTCCAAACGCAAACTATAAATATAGGTTTCCACATTGCTACTCCCCTGACTCCGCCTCCGACTCCGACTCCGACTCCAACTCTCCTCTCCTCTCCTCTCCTCTCCTCTCCTGTCACTTTGGTATCTCTCTCTCTCTCTCTCTCTCTCTCTCTCTCTCTCTCTCCAGCATCTATGTATATGCATATGTTTATTCATATTAGATTCGTTCGCATACTCTAGTTTTTTTTGGGATGTTTGGCTGTTGTGTTCGATCAATTTTCTCTTTTAACAAGTTTTCTGAGATTTTTTTGTTGAATGGAATGTACCACTTTTATCAATATCGATTATTGGTGAACAGTGGCATAGTCGGAATTTATTTTAGAGGAGTCATTAAACAAGTTATCGTCAATGTCATCATGTAAAATTTTTAGTTATTATACAGCCTATCAAAATCAACTCCTACAAAATACATTTGAATTTTATATATTTCTAATCACATCGACAAAAGTAATTAAACTTGTCAAATTACATGTAAAAACAACAATTCGGGCATAAAAACGATTGTTTTATCAAAAATAAATCCTTGAGAATTTGGTTTTCAAAAATCACTGCATGATAACTTCACTATTTATACCGATAATAGAACCTGTAATTCTTATGTGAAATTTTCAAATTGACCAAGGTGTTGCTAAGAAACACGCTTAACATGAATAGTTATTTTAACTTATTGGATGCTAATAGCCTTTCAACGAGGCGGTCATTAGAGATTTGTCTCGTGTCGGCTCTTTGAGTCACTTACGCTTGATTTATGTGGTTTAGAGACCGTTTCACTATCTATATGGCTCTAAATTTTTAACCCTAGGTCTTGAGATGGTCTAGCGGGCCAAGTCTTCTGTCTTTAGTCTATTTTTTTGTCTGGAATTTAGTAGTCTTAGTACTGGTAAATATTAATTATGCGTATATAGAACTGTGATTTAAATTGTATGATACAACCCATTGATCTGTTTTAAGCATGAAGTTAATCAAATTATGAAACTCTTTCATCCCAAATTTGGAGGGTAATATAGAGTAGGTCTTTGTAAACTAAAAGTAAAAGGGCATTAGAATGACAAATGGTTAATTGACATCGTATTTAATTTAAATGCAATCCAAGACGTTAAGTTGTTGATCATTGAAGTTCTGTCTGAAGCAACCATTCAAGTAGATTGAGAACTTCAGTAGGATTTGCAGTCCCCTTAAGCAGTACCAAAGGACAATAATCTTGTGTTGTGTTACTAGGTGTATGCTTCTTCTCTTTTCTTCTTTGTTTCTTTTCAAAATAGCAAAAGCTACTTATATTACAAGAATTTACAATTCAAATATCAATGTATTAGAACTTTATTTAGACAATTCCTATACATTTGTTGTTTGAGGAAGCTATTATCTGTACGACTCGCATCTTTGTCTGCAATATGATTTTCAACAATAGATGCCTTGGGTAAGGAGGTTGAACCTATCCCTCAGCACAAACCGCAAGGCAATCAAAAGGAACTACTCGAGGCTGTGCACATTAAAGTTACTATAAATTCTGCACAAAGCACCAAGAGTAGTGGGAATCCTTTTAAGGGGTCCAAATGTGGAGTTACTGAAACTCATACACTTTTTAGAGTTATTCAGCGTCCAAGTAATAAAATGGAGAGGCAAAAAAAGAAGAAGAAGAAGGAAATGTTTACAATAATTGGAGAAAGAGCTCACTCTGATCAACTAATTATAAGCTTTTCAACTGTGAATAAGATTTTTAAAATGCTATTGCTGTTTATCGCATCTCGTTTTGATTTCCATAATACCATGAAAAAGTGATGAATGGATTTTCCAATATTGATTGGGTCTGAGAATTGGTCTTGATAAGGCTAGGTCCCATTAGGACTAGGTTGAAAGCTGTTCAACTCAGTGGAGTTACAGATTTTATTAAGTTCTTTCTCACCCATATGTTTACAAATTTCAATCAATATTTCTTGCTTATATAAGTTGATGCTTAAATTTCTCTTTGTACATCATTCATGCATTTTGTTTGTAAAAAGCTGACCCCAATTAGTTATCTTTCTTATGAGAACTACAGTGTCGAGTTCTTTGCGACTGGAACCTAGCAAGATGTGGAATGCGCTCACTGAAATTAGTGATTCTGAATTCACACTGGAAGAAGTTGATATCTTGAAGAAGAACAAAAACATATTCAAGGACAACATCCCAAGAAAAGAAGTAGAGCAGTTCTTCGCAAATCTTCCTGAAGATATCATCTTTGACATTCTTGTTAAAGTTCCAGCAAGTGACCTTCACGAAAATGTTAGGCTGGTATGCAAAGCATGGAAAGGAATGATCTCTACAAGTAATTTCATTGCCCAAAATGCACTCCAAGTGAAACCTAAATTACTGATACAGAGCGTAACCTTCATGAGGCCCTTGTATGTTAAAGTAAAAGCAATGGAGGTTGATGAAGAGCGGCTTGACTACAAGTTGAGTGATTTTGAACTGCCCCAATCAGTTCGTGTCAGGTCCAGCTGTAACGGTTTGCTTTTAGTAAGTGACATGAGGAAAATGAGAGTGCTACAAGTCATGAATCTAGTGACCAAGTGTTGTTTGACACTCCCTCTACACCCTCCATTTTGTATACACAAAGGTTGCGGGGCAGCTCTGGGATTTGACCCTTGTACCAAGAAGTACAAGGTGGTGCACATTTGCACTCTTTTGTTTCGTTTTGAGATATTCACCATAGATGGTTCTGATAATGCATGGAAAAGGGTTTGTGGACCATGGAAGCACCCATTTGAGTGGCCCTTCGACTTGGATTTTCGTTTGAATGACCCGGTGTTGGTAAATGAGCGATTTGTGCACTGGTATGTTAATTCAGATGAATACATCATCTCTATAGATTTACGCAATGAAAGAGTTATCAAAACACATCTTCCTGATTGTGGCAAGGGAATAGACAGGCATAGGTACACTTTGCTGGAGCTTGATGGGTATCTTTCTTTAGTGCACAATGCTTCCAATACCCAAATTGATGTCTGGATTTTGGAAGACTTTCACAGTCAGATTTGGTTGAAGAAACATAGTATTCTAGCAGAGTCGATAAAGTATACAATATCAAACGATTCTTCATCATGCAGCAAGCAAGAAAATGCTTTTCCAAATCTTAGCAAACTTGTTCCCCTTGCTTGTACAAGAAAGGGTGAAATTTTGATTTTTAAGCACAAAAGCTCTGGTACAGATTTTCGCTTTTATCTATATGAGACAAAGAACAGAGAGATGAAGAAATTCAAGATGACGATTAGGGGACAGCTTTTCTTCATACCCCATGCTAGCAGCTGTTCTCATTGGAGGACTTCCTACGGGCCATGAAGTAATACTTAGTTTGGCTTGTATAAGGGTAGCTTATTTCTTTGAGAAACATCTATTCAAGTATTTCCTTCATAAATTTTCTATGTCCTTTGCCGATGAATATATTTAATGGAGGTGAATTGATGAAATAGAATTGGAGTCATGCTGAAGAAGAAGTTGCTTGTTTTAGAAGATTTCGATCAAATTAACTGAAATTAGTGAACTTTGGGATGTTGTTGCTTGACTACTTTGGAATACATTGGAATGGTAACTGAAAATTCTTTTGTTCATGTGTTTGGCTTTCACTATTTGGTGATCAAGATTGCATAAAGTTTCATCTATTTCTGAACCTCCGAATTAAGTTTACACAGACAGAATTCTTAGAATCTCTGCAGATTGGTCTCTGATGGCCCTTTCTTGACTAAAAAAAACTAGTAATCTGTTGAATGCATATTTATTTTTTGCTTAATTGAAGTCCCAATGTTGCTCTGTGCTTCTTCTGGATGCTTTACTATATCATGCCAATATTTCACCAGAGCAGTTTTCCCCAAAATCTAATGACATAAGCCTGAGTTTTTGTTAGGTGATTTATCAATTATTTTCCAATCATAAGCTCTTAAATGCCTTCAAGATCAATGAATTAAGGCATATGCATTCAATCATGCTTACACATTCTTCTTTCATCAGAATTGGTGTATGTGACCTTCACAATTATGGATTCCTCGTGTACATGAGAGAGGGATACATCTCCATAATGTATTACATTTTCTCTTTCTTATTGTAAAGTTGGCAACAACTACAACATTATTCCATTTTCAGCCGAATGGGTGTCCTATCTCTCTCATTAGATACGGACTCCACAATTTGTAAGAGAGATAGATTACACCACTACAGTACAATGTATCCATTATACAAAATATAACATTCTTTCATTTTCATTTGAATTGGTTCTTCTAATATGAAAATTAGTAGCATGTTCGTTTTAGGTTGGGTTTGGCAATTGATTGGGGGTGTTTGGGAAGAGTTTTTTTTTTTTTTTTTTGGCTAAAAAAACACTAAAAGATAAAATTGGTTAAAAAATTAAAAAAAAAAAAAACAAATCCATAATCATTTTATTTTTTCTCTCACATCCAACTATAAAAAAGTCCAATTATCTTCTCAAATACAAAAATTTTAACCTCCTAAAATAATTAAAAACTAAAAAAATCTACTAAAATAACAACTCCCAAACACCAACATTGTTTATCTTTCATTTTTAAATCACTTTCAGGTTCTACTTAGACTTAAAAATAAAATATAAAAAATTTAAAAACATCTACTAAAGACCAAAAAAAAAAAGAGCTTAAAAAGTTGTTTTTTTTATTTTTTGAATTTTTTCTTTACCTTTTAGATTTATATAGACGAACGCCTATTTTTGAAAATTGACATTTTAATAAAAAATTATAAAAAAGTAAATTATTATCTTTTTTTATAATTTTTTTTTGTAAAAAAATTATTAAAAAAATCAATTCTTAAAACAATGCTAAAATGAACTTGGAAATTGAAATTTTTTAATCCCCCTTCCTTTTTCAGTTTTTTTAAAACTTTATTTTGAAAAAATGTGTATCAAAAGTAATTTTTTTTAAAAAAAAAGAAAGGAAGGAGAGAAAAAAATAATAATAAAATAAGGAGGTATGACTTGCAGACATTGGGAACTCAGCCCTGACGCAACAAGGACCCAAATCCCTTTAAATTCTTCAGTGGTGGGTAGCTAAACACTACGTCAGTGTCAGTTGTTAATTTTTAACAAGTTATTTTGTATATTTGCTTTCATAATGAAATTGTTAGTAAGGTCAAGTTTGGGTACTTTTAAAAAAGTCAAAAGTTATTCAAAAAGTTAAAAAGTTAACACTATTCATCAAAAGTTAACAATTACGGCTGCACAACTTCCAATTCAAATTTTTTCCTACAAATCAATTTTTACAATTTTTTATTACACATTTTTCAATAAAAAGTCAAAAAGTTAACCCAAACATCCATATTTTCAACCTCAATTTTTTAGTCCAAAAAGACAAAAAGTACACTTTTTTAGTCTTCCCAAACTTGGCCTAAGTGTTTTAGTGATATGTGTTAGTGATGTTTGTTAAAATATTTGTTAGCTGCAGTTAGCCGTTTAGTTAGCGAAGGGAAATGTTGTTTTGTCTTTCGGGTTGATCGATCGGTTGACTCAGTCAACGAATTTTTTTTTTTTTTTTAACATGTTGAGATTTTTTTTTTACTTGAAATTTAATTTTAGGCTTCAAATTTTTGATTAAATCAAATTATTTATTTATTTTATTTATTATATACACATATATATATTTAGCACACACCTTAGCACACCCCTTAACACATCTATTGTACCACCATTCACTCTCTAAAATTAACAAAATCTTAACACATCTTAACAAACATTTTTAGGTCTCACTTTTTGTTAGGGAAAATCGATGTGATTCCCCACAAGTAAATCAATCAATGGGAATAAAAATTAATGCGGAAAAATTAAATCAAAGGCAACACAAGAATTTTTACGTGGTTCCCTCAATGTGAGGTACGTCCACGGGATCGAAATCCGATTCCACTATCAACCAAATAATTCCAAACGATTACAAACGAGACACTAATGGTCTCACAAAACCACCCTTAGGTGAATTCCAAATAATCACAAATAAACAAAGAGGAAAGACCTCACCAAATAGAAGAACCAAAATCTTCAAAACTAGAGTTGTAGAAGATCCAAAATAACAACCCAAATCAACTTCCACACAAAGCCGAAATAAACCGCTGCGCACCCACACAAATCAATGTTTGCTGCTGCGTTTCTCAACTTCGGGAAAAACAAATCAATTAAGACACTGTTACTCCTAACCAAAAATCACCAAAGGTGAATTCATTGGCACGAATCCCGAATTCGAAAAGTTTGAACAAAAACTTTGTGAAAGCCGTCCCAAAAAATCTCCTATGAAAATAAACAATATATATATATATATATATATATATTGGATCTTGGGTTTTAAAAACAAGTCCTAATTGTATCCAAATTGAATTGGGTCTCTTCAAATATAATATATAAAAATATATTATACCTAAACCAAGTCAAAATTAAACTCTTTTAATAAACCAATTGGGTCCCACACTCCAATAAGGAGGTATACCCAACAATCCGATTAGGGACACACCATCAGTCAAATTTAGGTGCATGTTTGAATTATGTATTGATTTTATTTTATTATTATTATTTTCTTTTTGTTAACATTGGTGTGGCTTGATAGCATTTTACTTTCTTATGAATAGTTAAAAAATTTATCTAATTGGGAGTGCCTTTAGGCATGGGTCATTTGCAAAGATTTTGAGAAAAATAGTTAAAAATCACAATTAAACCAGCGAATTAGTCAAATTGGAACCGATTAAGCCTACCCGATCTGGTTAGAAGACTAACCAACTCACATAGAAATTAATTAATTGAAACTTTTAAAATTTAAATTGTATTGAACTGAAGTATAAACAACATTACAATATTAAATAGGAGCATAGCGTTCACTTTATATAAGTGAAACAACTCACAAAATCATACTCAATCATTCTCTTTTTTTTTTTTATGTGAGATTGTATAAATTAAATGTTAATAATTATTTAGGTGAGAAATTTATTTCAAATCAAACAAATCTAACTAATAGATTTTGATAAAAGCACTAAAATCGTGATTAAATTAGCGAATCAATCAAATCAAAAACGGTTCAGCCTAATTGGCTAGGTCAAAAGAGAAACTAACTTACACAAAAATTAATTAATTAAAATTTAA